TTTTCTGCTTAAAATTTTAATATTTTTAAGTATATACAGCAGAATAATTGAATTCCAACTTGAATATTTTGTACAGAAATGAATGTTTATTATTTTGCATATTTTTATCCAATTATATATATATAAGGTTAGCTGCATGTATTAATGCGTGTAAGGACTTAGATTAGAGTTCTGCCTAAGAGTGAACTTAGGCAGGAAATATAAAAATCTCACAAAATGTGCTCTTAGATATAAGGGAAGCGTTACCAGTGCTCAAATCAGCTAAGATCATATTCTAGTTAGTTTGGAGGTGTGTGCTCGCACTGGTGGTGGAGGTATCAACAAGGCACAGTGGGCTCAAAGGCAACGAGACTTAGGAGTTGGCATGGAGATCTGAGATTCTCTTCGTTCGACCCGCCCCCTTCTATTGACTGTCAATATCTATCATTACGATAATGGACAGTAACAGTACGCATTTGATTTCTGTTTTAGCTAAGAAAGTCAAATTCCTTTTTATATAGATTCTGCAAGAGCGATGACGAGACGAACATACATATTCTGTGTGAATGTCCTACTCCGCCTGTCAGAAGACGCAGCTGGTATTGAGCGGAACTCAGTGTTGGGGAACCAACATTAAAAAACAAAGATAACAGAGGAACAATAAAGGCTTCATGCGCGACCTTCAAAATACTACAAACCGTGGACGTGCAATGGAATCTAAGAGAGGCAAACTTTTACAAAAAAAAAAAAATAGGAATTCCCCTATAATTTTATGAAAACTATGGAAAAAATAATCTTAAACAAAAGATTTAAGCTAGAAACTTTATTTAATTTACAAAAATATATCAAAAATCGTTGAATGCAATAAAACAAATTTGTGTTTTTAGCATGTTTCGTTATTGAATTTTTGATTGTTCTGTACATGAAATTACATTATAGCAGTATAATAGGGTAAGTGGTGTGGGAACGGAATATATTTCGCGCTTATTCAAGCACTTTACAAATATGTCGTAATAACGAACATACGTTGTATTAACTATATCTGTGGAATTAATTGATTAATTTAATATGGAATTCAAAATATCACGTATTTGGTTAAAGTATCCTATAGAAATAATATGTAATATTATCAACTCTCAATATAAAATGTTGTAAATAAGTTACGATAGATTTTATTGAACAAACATTTAAACTTTCTTTAAGCAATGGGCAAATTTGAAAAACTTTTTTTTTATGGAAAATTTCAATAGTACAACCAATATAATTAATTTCCCAAATAAAAATTTTATGTGTATGCATTAAGTTTAAATAAAATTTTAAACATATACAGAGTGTTCAATTTAAATTCGAAAATTAAATTTGAATTTAAATATATACAATGAAAATAAGAGAAATTTTTAATACATAATGCGACCGGAAAGTATTGTGGAAGTTATAAGAATTTCATAGCCAAAATTTTAATTATAATTAATTACTTCAACTGTTACATGCTAATAATATAATAAAAATGACGAGTCCCGTCGGTTGAAAGTGCGAATTTAAAAAAGAATTATTTTTATATTTAAAGTAATTTACTTGATTATTTACATATATTTTGTTGTCTTAACAAATTGTCATAAATGATTGGCTGTACTTTGAGTGTTACCCATTCCCTTACATTTTTGCTATCAAAAATCTAAATACAAAAATTTCATAACAACTTTCGATTTTAAACATAAAACAAATTAAGTAAGTTTATAATAATAATATAATAAAAGATTTAATCTAACCATCTTAAAAAATATCTTGCATATGGAAAAATGTGTGTATTCATACATTTACAAAACGTAAGGTACAATGTAACTTTCCAATTCCCAATTGTTTAATTGTTTTACTTTTCCCATGTCTTCTTGCCACTTCACTAAATAAAAGTTAAGATACGTATAATAAAAAAAAAATTACAGAAAAAATTTCACCAATCATCAATCGATCATTTTTCTTTAGAGTAAACTTAAATTTAATTATGTGATTTTCATTGAAAAAAGAACAAAACACTAAAAAAAACTATTTTTTCTTTGTTTATTTAAAATTTATGATTTTCCTCAATTAATCGGTGATAATTACTATTTGATTATCAATAATCAATATTAACCATTACCTCACATTTTTTTCTCATTTCCACTTGCAACATAACACACTTTTTTCGTTTACATAACTGTTTTGCCTGCCGTATTATCTGCTATAGTTACAAAACTTTCTGTCACGTCACAAAATGAGCAACTTTGAATGTTAATTGAAAATTGAATGAAAATTCTCAATACTACATTGATTGCAAAACTTTTATTATGAACTGTTTTTTATGGAAAATTATTGAACTGTTTCACTTTTCTTTATTGCTTTACTTCATATCCATATTTTTCATATTTGTAATTTATAAATCTAGTCAGTGATTTAGGCAATATGGATTTTTTAATAATAATTTTAATTTCTTACTTTTTTAATCATACTATTAACTATACATATATACATATATATACTTATACATATATATATGGAAATATTTAATAGTCCATATAAAAAAAAATTCCCACGAATAAATGGGGTGTATATGATTTTGTTTTGATCTTTTGCATATTAATTCATATTAGCAATAGCTCTAACAAAATAGTGTTACCACATAAATGTATTATTTTTTATAGAAAAATTCTTATTCGTTTCGTAAAATTTTCATTTTGTTTCAAATTTTAAAATTTGTATAATGTATAATTCGGTTTTTAGCTTGCTTTCATTCACAAAAACAATTTCCAAAATTTTGACATAGTAAACGTCAAAAACTTAAAATTGTTTTGGGTCGTATTTCTAGATGAACAAATTGAACCAGCATAAAAATTTAAATATCTTCATCTCCTCGAAGTGGGTAGCACAAATCTGTTCTGCTAAGTGCTGAACACCAGAGATTTTGCAATATTGTAAAATAAAGTATTAATATAAAAGTAATTATTCATATATGTAAGTAAATCCATAACATTCGATATCGAATACTAACAAAAATAAATAAATACATATCAATAAATAATTTTTAATATTTAATATAAGGAAAAAATTATGGCAGGCTGATCAGTGCCTAGTTAATTATAAATAGCTTGTGAAACTGAAGCTTAAACCTTTTATTGCTCCCAGAGAAAAGAGAAAAAAATATGACATTGTAGCTCTATAAATAATTTCTTCATATTTTATTATTATTATGTTACAGTAGATAGCAATAGAAACATGTGTGTGTTGATTTGTTGGTGAGATCTCTTTTTTTTCACATAACTTAGCTGTGTACTTTTTCACATAAACGTTGAATTTGCAATATTGAAATTAAGACATGAAAAATGTAAGTCAAATATACTCTTTCAAATTTAAACAAAAAGTTTCATATTTGCTTTATATTTTTTTATATATTTATTTTTTTAAAGTTTTATTTAAGTTTTTTTACCATGCCTATCAAGCATGGTAAGCAATCGTTTCCAGTTAATAAATGAGTTCACTTCAAAAGTAATACATAAATTTTTCATTCAACCTTAAACAAAATCTAATTTTGAAAATATGTTGCTAAAATCTAATTTAAACGCAGAAAATAGATAGAAGAAGAAAGAGAGGAATATAGAGAGAGAGGTAAAACACACAAAGAAAAGTGAATTTGCCGCTCTTAACTCGTTAGAAACAAGAAGATTTTAATGTATGTATGTATGTATGTAGATGCGAATAAATGATATTTTCCATTCCTTTCATTTCTTTTTTTTTATGCATAAAATTGGAAAGAGATGAAAAATGCTTTTTGCTTGAAAAGTTAAATAATAAATAACAAAAAATAATTTGTAAAAGCAGAGCAAACAGAAAGGTATTGTATAAGATAATAAAACCATATTGTCCAACAGTTGCTACAGTTTTACTGGTTTTCGACTAAGCTATAAAAAAAAAGAAGCATTGCCGTTTGAAATGCGTAATTGTTACCTGGTTATTGCAACATGATGCTTGTTTTATTGAATTTTTTTTCTCTTTTTTTCAGGTTATGGTGGTTGCCCAAATTTTAAAAACTAATTTTTTTTTTCTACATAATATTTTGCTTTACAAAATCAGTGCTACACAGTTATTTGTGTCCAAAATGAAATTAATATTTAGTTAAAATATGAGTTTTTAATATGAGTACATGGATGTTTACAAATATTTTAGCGTAATTTATTGGAATAAAATTAAATTTTATTGATCTAAATACAAGTATAAAGGAAAAATTTTATTGTTTTAATAAATATTTTCTTAACTTCTTCCATAACAGTTTAAGTTAATAGTTTTTAATAGAATTAGATAAAGCTTATAGTATCGAAGATGGAGAAATCGAGAAGCAGATACAATAGAGGAGAAGGAATAAGGAAGATTTGGTTTTAATAAAATAAAACATTTATTTTATAGGTAAATTGTGTAATACTGTTAAAATATAAGACAAATCGATTTTGCCGTGCAGGAGAAACAATTCTCTGAAAATTGACCAAAAACCGGGTTGTGTAATGGTTAATTTAAGTTTGATTTTATTTGACATCCTTACTTTTGTTTTTATTTTTTTTAGAATAGGAAATACAAAAAATATAAACTTTAAAAGATTTTGAAACCAATTTTTTTTTGTATAAGTATGTATGTGCACAAAAATTCGCATTTTTTCAATCATTTGTAATTCTAAATTCAATATTTTTATTCTAATTTTTATACTAATTATAAACGAGAAAATGAAATTGAATGTGTAAAAAGTTTTCCCATTTTACTGTATTCTATCAAAATTTGCCACAACAAAAACTTATAAGAAAAAAAACTTGCACAATAAAACAGAAAAACTAACTTTGAAATCATAAGCACAAATATAGATAAACAAATGCCATATATATGTTTGTTTATATGTGCATTTACATATCATTTCCATATATGTATATATATTTTTTTTAAATTTGCAATCTTTATTAAATTTATTTCAAATTTTCACATGAATTACAAAAAAATTTACTAACCCTTGACAATAACACTGGTGAAAAATTTGTAAAATTAAACTAGAAAATATTAGGCTCTTTGTCATTTTGAACAATTATAATTTTTATATACTAAATTTACATATATTTATTTATACATAAGTATGTACACACATGTATAATTTATTTTTTAACACAATTTATTTCTTTATTTTCATTTAGAAAAAATTTTTTGTTTTGTAATTTCTAAAATTATTTAACACTTTTTTTTTGTAATATTTCAAAATAGTTCTTGTTTTTCAAATTAATTTAAGATTAAAAACGCGTGAAGGTTAAAATGCGAAATGTTTTAAACAGGTGAAGTAGGTGGGGTGAAAAAACAAAAAAATAAAATAATTTTATGTGGGTTTAAAGAAATTTTTTTTTTTTTTTTTGTTCAGATTTTTTGTTAACTTTTGATCAAGTTTTAAATTTTTGTAGCTTTAATCCATTCACAACCGATATGAATAACTGTTTGAGAAAGACTAACTGAATTGATGTCAGGTAAGAAAAAAAGGCAAGGTGAGAATATACGGATAGAGTAAAGTTTAAAAGTTTTCTAGTGAATCGTGTGTGTGTGTATATATTAAAACAAAAAATAAAAAAAAATGAGGAAAGCTTAAAAATCAGAGTTTTTTTGTTAATTTTTTTTGTTATTGTTTTATAAATTAATTTTTCTTTTTTGTATGCATTCAAAAAAAAAATGTTTGTAGGCACAAATATGTATGTATGTGAGTATGTATGAAATTTTAACAAAAACAGAGAGCTGAATTTAAAGTGGTATGATAAAAGAGTTAATGAGAACCGAGAGAAGAATAAAATAAACAATTTACAAGTAATAAATGAAAATAGATAAATAATTTATATAGTGTGTGCTTTAAAAACATCCATACATACTGCACAATTGTAACATAATTTATGCATACAGTAAAAAAAATATAACGGTAAACAGAATTGGTGATAGTAATAATAAATATCATGTAGAAATAGTTTCGAAGGGCTTATACATTGTTAATTTTCTTGTCAAGAACTTATAAAGAAAACTGTCCATCTCACATTGTTTTAAAAAAAAAATTTAAATATTTCTAATAAATATTTCTAGGTTTAGTTAACATATCGAGAAAAGTGGAAATAAAACTCGTAGTAGAATTTCTCTTTGTACCACCTGAATTTCCTGAAAAGCTCACCAGATAGTTTCGGTAATAATCAGAGCTAAATTATCAAATATCAAGAAATTCCATTAATTCCTTCCGTATGTCTACGTTAAAAAACGTGAAATCGCCTCTTAATATTTCCACAAATTTATAAATTCATTGTTTTAATACTTCGAATTAAAATATTAAATTTTAAATAGGTTGATAATTTCTCTTTATATACGCAAAAATGTATAATCGGCCTGCGAAGAGGTCTGAAAGCTCCCAAGGTCTGATATATCCCAAAAGTTGATTAATCAGTACCATAAACCAGAATAAACTCCCATATAAAATTTCATCTAAATCGGTTCAGCCGAACGTGAGATACAAGCGTGCACATGCTTCTCCATTTCGGAGAAGTGCTTTCCCACCGAAATCTCGATAAACGAAATTCATGAAATGCATACAATGGCGGAGGTCATGTGATGATTTCACATCATGTGAAATCATCACATGACCTCCGCCATTGTATGCAATCTGGTCGGTACAAATAAATTATAAATTACAATTATATGTTAAAAGTAACAAAGATAAATTAAAAAAAAAAACCAATAATAAAAAAAATATATTTGAAGAGTCGTAAAAAAGTAAAATTATTTTTTAATAATAAGTAAACATTATGTGAACTACTTGGTTTGTAATTTTGTGGGTGAAGAGCAAAATTCTACTTCGGGATGTTTTTAACTAACTTTTGTGAAATGAAAAATAATTTTGCTTTTATTAAAATAAAAACAACAAAATTTTTACGTAACTCAAAATTTAATTTTATTTTAATTCGCTATTGTAAACAAAAACATTTTGTTTCTTTCCAGGCTACGTAACTCTTATTAACATTTCTTTCTTAATAAAAATAGAGTATTTTGAGAATTTTGCAAGTGGCAAGTAAACGAAAACTAATAGTTTTAGAAGACTCGAATTACTTCTTAAATAGATATACATACAAACTTTGGTTTTCATTTACCAAATCAAACTGCCCAAATGATTACCCATTCCAATTTAAAGTAAAAGTACTACTAACTTCTAGTTCAATTATGTATTAATAAAAAAAGTACTAAAAATTTCAGTAGGAATGCTTTTCAAGCTTTTCATGTTTACATTTTGTTATACATATAAAGGAAACAAAAAAGCTTTGGTGATGTCATCAAAATTACATTTTTGTTTTGTTTAACGAGCACAATAAATTTCAAAACAGAGAATAATGAGTTATACGAAATGACGAAATACACTGAAATCATATGGTTTTGTTTATTTTGTTCAAGACTATAAATACAAGAAGCATGTTTGAATAATTTTTATTAAATAAATTAAAGCCGGTATAATTTAATGCTGTGCAACAACAAAAACAAAAGTGAATATCAGTGAAGAAAGAACAAAATTTTAGAAAATACAGAAAAAATAGATTTGTTTTAATATAAATATTAACTGTAAATTTATAAAATTATTTATAATGGAAAAAAATCTATTTACAAATCCAAAAGGAATTTTAATACCGTCAACAAAATCAATTAATCCATTTAACGAAGGGTTTTGGCGTTCTCCAAAAAAGCGATTGTGGTAAGTAAATCTTGATATCTTTATTTTTTTTTCTAAACAAAAATATTTGAAAATTTAAAAGTGGTTTTTTTTGAGCCAAAAATTATAGAAATTATGGGGTAGGTACGTTGTTGGAATAACTTTTTCGATCGAATATATTTCAATTACATAACAATGTATATGTACATATGTATGTACGTAAATGGTTTTAATCGAAAAATTAGCTTTATAGGATCGTGATAATATAGAATCTGAAATTCACATAGCTATACATCAAAGACTATGTAGCTAATTATGCAGTTATTTGTTATACAACCGAAAAGTTTGAATTTATCACAAACTTGTTACCACACAATTTAAACAGAGTAAATGGATGTCAAACATATTCAAATTAAATTTTTTATTTTTCACATTCCTTAATCGTTACAAGAATTTTCTTTCAAATATTTAGTACTTATAGAATATTTTCCAATTTAAATTCTTTGATCAAGAATTGTATGAACCAAGTCAATTTTCAGATTTTTATTAAAATCAATTTAATTTTGTTCATACTACAATTTCCAAAATCTATAGTTAAGTTTAAAAAAAATTTGATAAAGTTGTAGCTATTGCCTATTTCTTTTAAAAATACCATGTAGATACTGTTTATTTTAAATACATACACCTGTCTCTTAAGTCTCTAAAAAGATAGTCCACTTTTGGAAATTTATTTAATACATTCTATAGCTTTATTGTTTAACCGGTAAAAACAGTATGAGTTTGATATATTTTCGAATTGCTGATTCTCGAAAATATTATAATAAACAAATTTAATATCTTATTTTAACACTATACGAGTACAAAAACATCATGAGAAGAAAATTCCCAGAAATTTATTTGTATACATACATATAAATAAATTAACATGTACATACATATGTACAAGTAATTAGCAAAATGTAATTGGAAATTTAATAAGTACGTAGTCCACACTTAATTTGTATGAATAAAATTTATTTCTCAAAAAAACATTATTATTTTATTTTAAATTTAATATAAATTTTTTTAAAACCGAAAAAAAAAATTTATTGTAGACGTCCGATAGGGGAAAATTAAATTTTAATTAGAAAAGTGCTGAAAAAATTTTCATAGCAAAATTCGGAAATGTTTTTATGTTCAATTTATTTACAAATCGAAAAACGAAATGCAAAACAATAACAAAAACTCAAAAAAAAATATACAAAGAAAAGAAAGCTTTTTATAAATGTCAAGAACAAACAAAATAGTAGTATTTTTTCTAAAGAAAAAAGCTCATCTTCTGATGTCATGTTTAAAAATTTTTCAAATATGAAAGCTTTTTCCGAAAGAGAACAGAAGCGTAAAATTGAATCATACTTTGTTTATTTTTTAACTGAGCAGGAACTTAGAAGAACATTTTTTTATTTTTTAGAAAAAGTGAAAGTTGGGAATTTTTTTTTCTAAAATTTTTTTTTCTTATTGCGATTGTGTTTTGAAATTCTTTTTATTTATTTAATTTATTTTCTAAAAATTATTGTTTAAAATTTGCTATTAAATACAATGGAGGAGGAAAAACCGATTGAAAAAACTGAAATTGTTAAAGAGTAAGTTCTTTTTTTCTTAAATTCCATAAGAATTAGCTACATTATATTTTTTTTGAATTTCAAAAGCGTAGGTGATATTTGTTTGTATGCGTATGTTTGTATAATTCCTAAAATACTGTTAATATTAATTTTTTATATTTGATATAATTTTATAAAGCAGTGCATATAACGTACAATCCAAGTGTTTTATTATAGTTTTCCAAAAAGTAAAACGCATTTCACTTAAAGCGGTACATATTTCAGGATTCCTAATTAAGGCATCTATCTAGACGGCTGTGTTATTTTCTGTGTCCAGTTATAAAATACCAGTTATTTTAAAATTATGTCATTAAAATTAATAAAGCGAATTTCATAATTTCTACTTTATCATTATTATATAAAAAGACAACATATATACATACATATATACATAACACACTTAAATACGGGTATTCTATTTATACATATGTGTACACAAGTATGCATGTACAATATGCATGTATTATTAAAAATATTTATAATTCTTTTTAAGAACACGCCAACCAACAATAATAAAAATTGTGTTATTTTATTTAATTCGAATTGAGTAACTAAGTGTCATGTACAATGTCATTAAAAATTGATGAAAAAAAAATCGAATAGGTACATGGTTTTTATGGCAATTAAAAAAAATTTTTTCAATAGCTTTAATTTTACTTTTTTTTGTATATTTAGGAGTTTATTCAAGCGAATCCTGAAACAGATATTTATTATTGAATCAATTTTAAATTTTTATTTTAAGCAGTTCCTTCTTTAACTTTGAGACTCTATTTTAGCACAATTAAAATTTGATAATTTGTTTTTCTACGTAATTATTGCACTTCCACACAATTAACAATTTAAAAGTCAAGCAAATTCAACATGTTATTGCCCATTTAAAATATATTGTGAAATATTTGAATAAAATTTATATTGCGAAAATATTTTGCGAAATGTTTACAAGAGAATTTATAAACAAACTTTTTATTTTTTTAATTATATGTTTATCAATTTGATATTCGAGTCAGTGGTGTGCAATACTTATTCTTATCTCTGTATATAGGGGTCGGGTACATACGAGTATGTATATCAATATATTTTAATAAAGTATAGAAGTTACATACATTTTTAATGAGTAATTTAATAATTAATAATATAATATTATAAATTAATACAGAATTGTTCTATAATAACGCAAATAAAAAACTTTAACGTTTAGAGATTAGATATGCCGGCTAGATATAGTTTATGTATTTCGTTTAAAATAATTTTTTTCCACCAGTTTAATTTAGTTTGTAAGCGGTAACAAATGTTGTAATACGTCAATATTTTTGAGCAAATTTTTATTTTAGTAATAATTGATTTTTGAGAAATATTTCATAACTAAAAATTAATAAAATGAGAAAGATATTTAAAAATGAAAAATTTTTAAAAATGATTAAGGCAAAAACCAAAAGGTAAATAAAAGATATGTTTTTTGTTTTTGAAAATCAAATTGATTTGCTTAAATTGCTTAGTTAATTAATATTTTGGAGAATATGTGTATGCACTTCTATTTGAGTATGATGTGCATTAGTGGCTATCAAATAATTTCTGGGGATTTTAAAAAAATTAAATTTTAGTTGAGTGTCAATTTAATTTGCAATCTACAAAATCTTAAATTCACTTAAAGTAAATAATATTGCGTTTATTGGTGTATATGTAAGGAAAGTAAGTAAGCACACCTATGCCACAAGTTACGTGTTGCAAGTCATTTAAATTTTCCAAAACTATATAATTCCTTTTCTTAACAATAATTCTTCTTAAAATAATTATAGAATTTATTAGAAAAATATTGCATCTTCATTGTATCGAAATCTAGTTAGGCTAACGTTTACAATTTTTTTTTAAAGCACAACAAAAGAATTTTTTTAATAGTCAAAATTCAGAATATATGAAATAACATATATATGTATATGTGAAAAAATTTTTCGCTATATTGAAAGTTCTTAGATAAAATTATTCCTTTGTATTAAAAGTACTTCCATTTCGTTGGATTTAATGATGAGGTATTCAAAATAAAATCGTTTTTTTACAATTCTCAATTTGCCGATAAAAAAAAATAAAAGTAAATTTATTAACATATGTACATACATATATACTTTGTTATTATATTTACTAAATTTACTATACATTAATTATTAGATATTCAACTGCATGATATATTGTGTAGGTGTACAATAATTTATTACAATAATAAAAACAAAATAACTTTCTGAGATATTAAAAAAAATCGATAAAGCGCCAGTGTTTATTTGAATTATTTATTTAATCACTTATTTACTTATGTTAAAGCAAAGCTTAAAGAAAGATGGCAATATTAATTTTTTGTTTTTTTTTTTATAAATGATCAATATTTATAATAAAAACAAAATGATAACAATAGACGAATCCCAATGAAATAATATATACATACGTTCTTCTCCTAAATGTATGCAAGAAATTTTTCATTTGCAATAACAAATTTTCTTAATTTTTTTCCGATTAGCAATCAATGATGTCGATTGCATTTCAATGTTCATATATTATATTACATATATAATCGAGTTGTAATGTTATATATGATATACACATGTATGTATGTATTTTGTAAAAAAATAATACAAAATATATATGTTAAATTTCAATTGAATAATAAAATTAATTAGTCAAAGTGTAACTATAATTTTAAATTCTTAAATTATCATTTCGAAACTCACGTTCGCAACAGTAATCAATAAGTTGAAAATTAATTTCAAATATTAAATTATTGTAAAGTGTTTAACATCCCCTTGATTTTAAACGTGGTGTAGAAATAATTGTTATTAATTTTTGGTTTTTTTATATTTACAAATAAGTTTAAAGATTAAAAAATATATACCTATATGATAATGTTAAGAATTTCCGATTCAACTTGTAAAATAAAGAAGCAAACTTTATTAAAATAAAATTTTTACATAACAAACTAATTGAAATTAACAGTTGGACTGAAAGCAGTAGTTAAGTACATTGCAAAAGCCCTCAAAATTAATCAAAAGCGCTCAAATATTAAGAGTGTATATTGAATTTCCATTGTAAATAATAAGAATTTGATTCAATAAGGTGTTCCAGAAGAATAAGGTTTTCAAATTGCTGTTAAATAAAGTTAAATGTCATTTAAATATCCAACTACTAAAAAATTAAGAAAACACAATATACACGGTTATAAATATGCATATAACGCCTGTTGTAATCTTATCTAATAACGCCTATTGTAATTCCTAATGCCTAATGTAAACTTCCATGTATGTATATATTTTCAAAAAACACGAGATCAATTTTTAGTATGCCTAATGAAATTAAAGCTCAGTATTATAAAGCTTTTAAAAGACAAAAAATGTTTTCTGTAATAACGGTATTTTTTGAAAAAAAAAGTGCAATTACTGCACAGAAGAAAAACCATAATTTTGAGGAGAGATATAATTAATAAATGAACACTGTAATTAAACTGCCTCCTGAATTACGTTTACTTCAAAATACTGCATAAAAATGTCTTGTTGGATCTTAACATAAGCCGTTAAAGAAAATATTAATATTAGAATGTTAATTATAATTTATTGCTCAATTGGTTTATTATTAGTAGTTTTGTTAATATATATGTATATACTCGTATATAATTTTCTCTTAATAAAGTAATTAATAATTTGACAAAGGATGTTTTAGAGAAATTTCGGATAGATAACAATCTTAAAGTCAAAATTAAATATTACTTTGTCTCAAACATGAAATAAAAATCATAATTCTTAGAATCTATTTCATTTGTTAACAATTTTTAAATTATAAAACAAATTGACAAATTTTTATTATGATGAAAATTATTGTATATTTCCATATAATAAACAGTTAATTATATTTATTATTTAACGCGGACATAAAAATAAAATTAGGAAAATTTAAATTCCAAAATTTTTGCGTCATCAGAAAATAAAAACATTCGGAAACGTCAAATTAAAAATATTTTCTCTTGAAAAAGTATTTTTTCTATATTTTAATAAGTATTTTTCTTTGGAATTGTTCGATTCTCTAAAAAATAAGGTCGTTTTTTAAACATGATTGTTAATTATAAAATTTTAATAATTATCTATATTCATATCTGAAAATTTTTTTTATTATCAATAATGTTTGTTTTATTTTTTCTGGTTTTTTTAATTTTTCGATTTTTTTAACTCTAGAATCAGTATGAATCGATTCATGATTAAGATGTGCTAAACGACAACCAATCTTGAATTTGAATAATCAAATTATGCTGATTCTCTACCTAGGTATAATAACAGATTTCTAAAACATTTATTGTTCTTTACTAAACTGTTATGTTATATTACTTATATCTTTTTATAACAGTTTTGTTAACATTGTTAACAATATTTTAATGAGTGAGATCACGGCAAATTATAGGATTATGTAGCTTAATTATGGATATGATTTATGTAAGTTTGGAAGACATTTTATGCGCATACTACTTCAGCTTTTGAAGATATGAACCGAAAATATTACAGCAAACATAAAAAATGACGATGAAATTTCTTTGTGGAACAGTTTTTAATATGGAAATTTAAATGTAAACTTTTTATGACATTTATCTAACATATGATTAGGCTAATTTTATGGTTAGTTTCTTTTTTTTTAACAAATGTTACTCACTGTCTAGTATTAAATTGATTTTATTTTATTCCAAAATTTACACGAAACATTTCATTTATTATTGGCAGACTGAAAAATAAGAATACGAAAAAATTTATTATGTTCCAACCAAAACGGCTGCTACCTATTTTTCAGATTGTACTGATGGAAGACACTACACATTCCGCTGTCACATTCCATCTATTCTCGTTTTTATCATGATCATATCAACGCTCGAACCTAATATTAATATCATAACCATAAAATGTGCGTTCTTATGATGTGCAAATGCATTTTCGTCTGCGTTTACCGTTATTGATTCTTTTGTGCCCAAGTTTAAAATGTACGACACTATTGAATATTTCGGTAGGATTCAGCTTCACCAACTGTAACTGAAATATATTATACCCTTTTATTAATGATACTATGTTTAGTTATTTTACTACTATTAATGATAATCAAAAAAAGGAAACATCATGAAGGTGATAAATTTGAACATACACGTATTAATTATGTATTTATAAATACATAATTAATACGTGTATGTACATATATAACAGAGATTCTACATTCTTGAAGTCTATTTGCTTAAATCTGACTGAACAATTAAGCATACATACATATGTACATGCATACATTGTTATTATTATTCAGCACAGTATAAAGCATGTTTTTTTTTCTTTTTAAATTATATGGTATATGGTAAAGTACATAACATTTTCATATAAACTGAGATGAAATGAGAGTTAACATTTTTAGTTGAGAATTGCGTTTATAGCATTCGATGAGTGACCGTTGTCGTGTTCAGTTGAATTCGAATTAGTAGCGGAGCCCTCGTTTTATTGAATTGAAAAATATAAAATTTTTTTTTGTTTTGTTTTTTTTTAAGTTATTAATTTGTAACATCATAGTATATTTTATAATTAGAAATATTTTTAATTGATTTTAAGGAAAAAAAATTGATTCAGTTTTTAAAATAAAGTTTTTTTTAGTAACATTTTACCGATTCAAGCATTAGTTAGTGCGGTTTTAATAAAAAAAAATTTTAATTTATGTTGGTGTAATTTAAATTAGAAAATTTTCTGAAATGTTGAAAAATATTGGATTAATTGTAGCTTGCTTATTACAAGTGGCTACAATAACATATGGGGATGATAACAGCAGGTTAGTAGAAGTCTTACATAAAACTAATTATGTATGTATGTATGTATATAAGTACGTAAGTAATAAAAGGGAATTTTAATTATTATTTCGGCATGAAAATATTTTTGCTCTCCGAAATAAAAAAATATTTTTAAATCAAACGAAAAGAAAAAATTAAAACAGACAGAACAGGTTTTTAATAAAAAGTTGTAATTGAATTAAAAATATTTTGAAATTTAGTTTTAATATTGCATTAAGAACTTATACAAATTTTTAAATTGCAAAGTTATTTTATTGCAAAATCCTGAATTTATTTAGAAAAATTTTTGCCGCTTGCTTTGTAGGTGTTTTGTACAACTTTTCAGATACAAAAATTTTTGATTTTCGAAAAATAAGAAAAAACAAGTTAATGCAAAAGACTGAATTGATTAAGGAACTTGTTTTTTTTAATAAGATTAATTAAATTATCATAAAAACATATTATAAATTAGTGTGAAAAGAAATTTTTTTTTAGTTTTTTACAAAAACAAAAAAAAAATAAAAGAGAATGACAAAAGTAATTAAATTGGCATTTGAGGAACAGGCGGTAGTATGTGCGAAAAAAAATAGAGAAAACGATACTAATGAAAAAGTGAAACAAATTTTTTTTAACCCTATACAATTTTTCTTTTATATCAAGAAAATTTTTTATATTGATGGATTAGATTAAGTGTATATCACTATTCATTTCATACCGGTTTCTAAAACTATAAAAATCAATATAACCGATGTTTCAGTGTTTTATTTTTTTTTTAATTTGGATCAATATTTCTTAATTTTTCAGTTGTGTTATAAATTACATGCAGGTTATATCTAGGATTTAGTATGGAATCTAGACCGGTCTTAAAGTTCTTTATTAACTCGGAGTCTCACTAGAAGTCTAATAGAGATTTGGATTGGAACCACCTTATATTTTTGATCTTGATTCTCATAATTTTTATATTTTAATTAGGATTTGTTATAGGCCTTTATTTGTTCATAGGAGATTCAGCACTTTGTTGTTACATTAAGTAAGTCTGCAAAATAATTTTTATTATAAATTTGTAGTATTAAGTTCTTAAGATTCTGTTCCGCAATTAACTAATGTTGTCTAATTAATTTTGGTTTCATGTATTATTTTATCGTCAAGTGTTGTTAATTTCACTGATTGAATTGGATTACGTTGATTTTAAAATCAAGGGTTAGTTGAAATTATAGGTATTTCAAGAAATTAAAAAATAAATTTATACTAAGAAATTTATGATTCATATTTTAATTTTGTTATAAAAAAAATTTTTGAAAATTTTTTACCAAATTTAAATAATATATGTATGTGTGATTAAATTAAATTCAACAATAAAATTTCATAAAATTTATGAAATTCAAAAAATTATTTATCAAATACTAAATATAAAATAGGTTTGAATACATTATAAACCAAGTTCCGTTTGTATTGTCTGGTATTTACGTGACTTTGAAGAAAAAAGACCGTTTTTATAATTATAATTTATTAATAAATTAGTACAAAAATATTGGGTAAACTAAAAAGGATTTTTGTTTTTCAAGTTAATTTTTAATTAATACACTCTGGATTAATATAAATACTAGAATGTTTAAAATTTTTAAGTGAATATTATCTGACCGAAGGTGAGTGAAGGCGATACTGTTTTTAATTTTCAATTGAATATTTAAAATTTAAAAATAAAAAAATTAAAATTTAAAGTAAATAATTTCAAATTTGAAATTATATTGTACACGTATTTGATAATTTTGTTGACCTAGAGGTCTAAAACTGACCAAGTTTATCGCAAACTTTCATTTTATAATTTTTTTCAAATCAAAACCTTTCCGAAATAATAAAACTAACAAAAATATTTTTTCCTCGTTTAGACATGTTATTTTTAGTACATACTTACATTATATACATAAATACTGTTATCTCTATAACAGAATGTAGCAATAAAAAATTATATAATAATGCCGGTGTTTTTTTTGGTTTTAATGTGAAAAGGGATAAGAATAAAATAGAAAATATGAGAAGTATATAATCTAAAAATTTTAAAGTTTTTTAACAGATTATGATTTCTGTGGACCGCAATTAAACACTGTAAGATTTTGAAACATTATTAATCTTAAAGTACTTCCAAAATAATATATGAGATTTCGCATTTTCATTATTTAAGTAAAAAATTCATAGTTGAATTTTAAGATTATGTCTAAAAATTTTTCAGAAAACCGAAATTAGCTTGAATATGTATATATGTATATACACATTCAAAGAGATGTACATATACATATATACTCTTGACATTTTTGACATAAATATTTTTTTAATCAAATGGGTAAAAAATAAAATCAAATGAAATCGACAAGAAATAATTTTGGGAATGAAACGGAATGATAATGAACACATAAGAGAAATTTTGTTTTGAGTGGCTTTTCTGTTACCTGAATGATAATATTTCCTTTTTCACTTTTCTCATTACGATTTCAGATATAAATTAAAAATGCGTTTTCATTATATTATTTTCCTTCAAAAGAGCATCTTTATACATTTTTAAGGTTGATGAGCTCTTTATTGGGCGAGGAATTGACTTCATGTATTTATTAAAATCTATACGAAGTTATTGCGGTTTCGAACCTGATTTTAATTATAGTAAAGTATTTTTATTATATAAAGTAGACTGGAATAATTCAACAAGGTTTAATAGTTTAATATAACCGATAGACCAAAATAGGAGAGAACAAAGGAGTTTAATATAAAAAAAGATAAAACAAAGATTAAATTCTTTTACACAATCCGAAATGCGTTAAAAAACAAAAAAAAGTTAAAAAAAACTTACTCTGGTAAAAGAGAAAAAAAAATCAAAATTTTTTTAAAACCTGATGCAAGAGTCTTTTGATATCTTGTAACTTTAATTTTACCTCTGTTTCTATTTTTCTTTTTTTTGTAAGCAATTTATTATCAAACTGTTCAACCGGTTTTTAGTGAAGCCGGCTCATATAAGTACGTAATCAAAATACTCGTACACCTGCCATTTAATAACTTAATGTAAAGGCATGCATTTTGAAATTTCATTTTAGGATTTAAAATCAGATGTGTTAATACGCATTTTATTTATTTAAACCTAAAATCGATTGGTGCAGGTGAGAACTAAAATCGGATAGTGAGACCCGTGTAAATTATTTTTAAAAATAATATAAAATGAAGCTAGATGCTTTTAGATTTTAGAATGTTCTTTAAAAATAGAATGTTAATTTGGAATGTGAATTCGATTCCGAATAAGTTAGGTTTAAAAAGCAAATTTTTTTTTTTTAAATCAATTTCTATTCCAACTATTTTTAATTTTGTTATTTGGAAGTATGAGCTGTGAGTAATAAATTCTTATTAATATTTTTAAAATTATCTTTCAAACTCTGACGATTATGCAATAAAATCACTTTTCAAAAATTTGCTGACACAATTTAAAAAATGCACAATTATTTTTTAATGCTTTTATTTGTGCTCAAAAAAATTTCCTAAAATTTTTGTACTTTTTCAGGGGTTTTTCCTATTTATATAGGAAAAAGGGAAAACCCTTGGAGAAAGTACTTTTTTTTTACTTTTCGTATATTTCACGAAATTTGTACATATTTTTGTTTGCTTTAGCCAAGTCTATTTAACAAATGAATAAATTTCGAAGGGAAATTATTAGTTAAAATACCGCAACCAGAAACAGTTTCTATCGTTGTTAAAATTCTATATAAATACGAAAACTGTCAAATGTTCTTTCATAAAAAAATTCTGGCTTGAAGTAAAATAGATAATTTATCGCTTTTCTGCAATAAAATTTGATAATTCACAAAAAATGTATTATAGGCAAATTTTAAACTCATAAAGTTACTTGTGATGTAAGGGATGATATGTTAAATGAAAAAATTTAAATTTAAATAATGATTATTGAATTATTTCTCGTACCAAATTGAATTATTTGTCGTTTTTGTACGTTCATAATTTTGAATATGATGTTGTAATAGTAAATAGTGTATTTTGCAAATGGTTTTTTATTTAGAAATTGAATACTTTAAACATAAACGAATCAAAACCTTTTGAGAGTAATTAAGAATTGGTTTTTTATGGAAGAACGCAAGTTTGTTACATAGTATTTTGAAATATAAAACGCTTATTATTTAATAACAGAAAAGCAATTTGTGGTTAAGTTAGTACGTATTTAACAAAATAGAAACGTATGCACATATGTATGTGAGTAAAAATTTTTGACATATTAAAAATTCAAAATGATTGAAATTACACTAAATTTTGAGACAAATCATAAGGGCGAAAACGCGAATCATGTAAAAAATCATGTCTTCTGCTCGTAGCAAAGCACAACTGAAAAATATCCAAGACCCAATAGAACCTGTGATGTATAATTACGTCCACGAAATTGTTATATAACAAACCATTTTATATTTAGTCAAAATGTCTTGTTCACTTTAAAATTTCCGTCATAATTTGATTTTCTGTATATAAGATGCAAAGCGCTAATTAACATTTGAACAACAACATTTAATTAATAATTAATAACTAATAACTAGTTTTACAAAATAATTTTTTAAATACAATTTTTTAATAGAATATTGAAAATAAATTTAAGAGAAAAAAAATTCTCAAATCATGGTGATAGCAAAAAAATTAATATTATTTATTCCATTTTTTGCTAGTTACCTTCATCTTCATATAATATAACACTATAAATAATCATTTTATGAGTACTTATTATGTAATCAAATTAATGATTTTGAAATTTGTTAAAATTATAAATAGTAAAATTTAATTAACATTGAATATACATATTATATAATTAATAATTTTTGTTGTTTCGACACCCTATTACAAAAACAAAAAATATTCTAATGATCTTTAACAATAATTTAAAATTTATTTTTTACGATTTCACTTATTATTATTAGGAAAAATGAAATAAAAAAACATTTTTCTTTAGAATTAAAAAACTCTAGCC